TCAACAAAATCTTTGCATCGGTATTCCCCAATGTGTCGTCATCCCGTGTAGTTTAGGTTGTCGGGTTGCTAGGTAATGTTGCTGGATGACAGCAGCAGCTTGACGGAACGATAGTCCAACCCTCATGTGCTTAACAGCGTGAATACATGAAAGGACAGTCTTAATTTGTAGGCTATGAATACAGAATCAGCGTTCCCAAACGCCCGCAGTGCGGCTGCTACTGAGGCGTCTTCGGCTTCCACTTAAAAAAAAACTCCCTATCAGGTCGTTTACAATGGACTCCTCAATCTCAATTTTTATGACAGAAGACTCTCCTTCGTAGTGAGATAGTACCTGATTCATTTGTGAAGTTTGACTGCAGAAAAAAAAACTTCATGCCGTCACTCAGTGCTTTATATTCTTTCCACTCCGGATTTTGAGCCGTCGTGTTATGCTCTGCGTAGTTTCGTGGTCGATTTGGGGCGTGTAAAAAGCTATTTTGCGTTCACCTTCTTTTGACGTTTACTGGACTCAAAGTACTTTGAATTGACAGCGAATGCATCACACTGCATCGCCGGCGTCTCATCATGATTTTTAGACCATAGTGGAGCGCGTAGGCAGGCTAGAAGGGCATCTTGCACGATGGAGGCTAGAGATGCTCGGCTTCAAACGTCACATCTTTCCTTCGTTTGTTTCTTAAAAATGAAGAGCCGGTTTAATCCGGCCCTTCAGACCTTATTTTCGGCACATTGCCAGTAAACTACGCGAAGTGCGGGATTTAGGAGGTCTGCTTCAACGCGGTCTGTGAAGATGGTGTATGCTATTGCCTCAAACTCCTGGATTATACTCTCAACGAATGGCTACCATAATTATAATGTATAAAAGAGTACATATACAACAAATAAACTTACGAAGCAAACGCCGGATTTCCAATTCCTTACTGAAGGATTACAACTCACTCTGTTCAACAAGTAGTGTCTAGGTGATAAAGATGTTAGAATCGCAGCGTATTCACGTCGTCGCCATCTGGCCTTGTACATGTGTACATACATACATGCCACAATGGTATCTCCAGCTGGCCACTCTTGCTAATGTAGAGGTATTCTCGTTGCAATTTTCACGGGTACGCAGTTGCCTCTCCAGACGTGCTATTCGCTGTTCCCGTTGTAGTTAGTGGAACCTAGTCGAAAGCGTATAAATCAGCGGCAGCAGGGACACGAGAAAATCAATATACACGCCGCTACAGAAACCATTTGTCTGCTGTGCTGTGCGCAAACATGGCAGGAGTTACGAACTCGATAATCTTGTCTTTCGCAGGCTCGACAAACCGAACGCTATGTCCTCGCGAGCGTGTTGAGAACAGACGCAAACGCCGTTGCAACGAGTTGTAGCGACAATATGTTTTTTTTTTCAAATTGATTGCTTCCAGCTTATAAAAACGCTGAAAATTTGAAATATCAATATCCTGTTGCTCACAATTTCCAAAGGCCACGAAAAAAAACTCAAAAAATAATTTCGAAGTTTCACTTGTAAAGATTATTTCCAAGCCATATGCAAATTTAAAATAATGAATGGTACGCAAGGTTTGGATGTTTTATAGTAATCAAAGATTTTGATGTATTCACAACCAACGTTACTGTACGCATTCTCTGAGCTGGTGAATACCATAATACAAGTCAGTTGGGCTGTTTGCGTATCGTGTTCGCTCAAAATGTAGTTTTGCAAAAAGTGAGCGGCCATGGTTACAATTCCACTGCCAACACTCCGTGCCTCAGAATCATTATATAATCGAATTATGATTTTCTTGAGATTCTGAAAAGTAATAATATGAGAACTGCTTATCCACTTCTCTAAAAATTCGACATTTCAACAGTAAAACCACTATTGTCAATTGAAATAAGGCCCAGCTAAAAAATAATCTATATTTGTTCGGAGCTAGAAATACGTGTAGTTGTGCGTAGTCGTCCAGTCTTCAGTGAATCACCACTTTTGAGGCAAGACGCAATGCAAAGCTGCTCGTTTGGTGCTACCAGAAAGACAAATACAGCAATTGTCCCCACGGTGAAGAAAGCGGATGCCACCACCGCTCAAACTGCTTCTCGCATGACGTTTTGGAGACAGCTAGAAGAGAAATGGAACCGAATCCAAGTTGGTCGACAGGGATCGTACTCTATCGAGCGTCTCATGAGTCTGGAGCATTACTGCAACACGACATCGTGGACTCGAGTTATTCTGGTCTGTGTACTGACGCCAGTCCCTGCTCTTTCGGTAGCATTGATGCTTGAATGTCTTCCGTTAAATTCACCGTCCGAAGGGTGGGCTGCAAACTGGATGTTTTGGCTTCGGTTGGCGTTAACTCATGTGGTGGTTGGCTTTAATGTATTCTCACAGATGACAGTATTCGTTCCGGGTCTGAATTTCACATTTTGCAAGCAGTTTATCGTAACTATAGGCGGTGCTATTGGCCTGGTCGGCGCTGGTATTCTAGCAGCTAACACTATCGGATTTCCTGTGCCCCTCTTGATGCAATTTGGAACTATTCCGACAGGGATAGCCACGTCAATAATGCTGCGACTTGTCATTGGACCTGTTATCTTCACTAGTGGTTCTCCCATCACGATTCATTTGAAACGATTCTACCGCGCAATTCTCGCATTTATGACCCTGATCGGGATATATCCTCTGTTCAAGGTGCTCTATGACTTTGTTCCCGTTGGTTATCGAGGTATCATTGTTCTCGTTTTGCCGGTATGGAGATTCGCCGCAAAGCACTTTATCGTGTACGCTATTCGTGACCTGGAAGACTTAATACCAGAAGCTGTAGCATCTTTGGTTGATTTTTTCAGCTCGCTCTTTGTATCGGTGTGCATGTCATCCTCAGGGCCGTTGTACTTGTCTATGATGTTCATCGCAAGCGATCTCGGGCAAATTTTATTGGAGATGCGTGAATTGAGTGAAAATGCCCACGTGTTGCTACAAATTATTCAACAAGAGCAGACTGGGTCGACAAATCAGCAAAACACGTCAAAATTATTATCGACAATTCTCGACATTCTAAAAGAACCTGGAGCTTTGCGGGCCAAGTCATTGAAAGCAGTGCGGCTGTGGGCCTGTCTGCCTCATCCTCTAACACCACAACAAACTGAACAACTTCTTAATCTAGAATCAGCATGCACCAACGATCAGTGGGAGAGACTGTCAAGCGACAGGATGAAGCGAAGTTCGGTGCAGACGATGCAAAATGTGTTCAAAACAAAGATATCTATTGTGCCGACTCCAAATCTAGAACCGGAAACATTCTCACCGACAACCGCAGACATAATCGAAGCAAAGAATTTTCATACGATTGGCTCGAGGTCGGGTACAAAGAGATCCAAACAGTTGGTCTTACAAGGATTACAACTACTCTTTCATTGTGAATATCTCGAACTGGTTGAGTACGTCGAGTGCATCATCCCTATAGTTTACGTGGTGTACAAATCTGTTCTGGAACAGCTGCCGAATGTTGTCTACTATCCTGGTGGTGCGGGCAATTGGGGCATAGCAACTGTGGTGAACATTCTGGTGCTGGCGGTGTTGGAGGTTATTTCTCTCGTTTTCCTCCATCAGTTTTTGCAGCACAAGTTTGCTTTTTCTGCAATGCACCAGCTTGCGTTCGCACTGGAAACTCACGTCTATTTGGTTCAGATGAAACTTTTTACGGGTGCCCTTCTTCTTATACCCTTTGAACTAAAGCATTTCGGTAGGTTTTCTTACATGATAATTTGCTTGGAGCCCTTACCAAATGTCGATATCTGCGCTTGTTAGGTGCCGACTTCAGTTTTCGATTCGGATGGCTCCGCGACAAATAAACGTGGGAGGCTGAGGTAAAATTTAAAGTTTTGTCTTTCATTTTTTTAAGTACAACAATTAGACATTTTATTGTTGTAAAACCGAAAGTTGTTCTAAAACAATAAATAATTTCTCCATGGTCGCATGGAACGAATCAAATGCAGTTCTGAAACCAATATGGTTATAACAAGGATGTTCGCAGGTGCAGACCATGAGATCGAGCTGTATTGGTTTCGTTTTCCTTGACGTATCACCGTCTCATGAGGTCGTGGCACTGACCTGATCTCCTAGTTCATTTTTAACATCGCACAAGTCCTGACTACCGCATACCAACGCTCCAAGTCGTCAAGTCCAGTATGGATCAGCCGGACATCTCTAGTGCTGACGGCCTACTAGCCGATGGTATACTTGCTATGCATGAGAACTTGGCTGTCGCAATCGAGAGTGCACTGGGCAGACCAATTCCAGAAGTGGAAATATGCTTCAGCGACTTGCACATTTCGGCACGTCTACCGCTGGCCAAACCAGGATCAGAAGGACCCCAAGTACCCACGATTTGGACTCAAGTCAAACGGGGAGTAATGAAGTGTTTCACCAAGCAAGACACGGCCGAGAAGGAGATCTTGCGTGGTATCACTGGCGTCTTCAAACCAACTAGCATCACGTTGGTACTGGGACAACCTGGTTCAGGCAAATCGTCACTGCTCAAGATACTAAGTGGCCGCTTTCCCATAAACAAAACCATCGAAATGTCCGGTGAAATCACGTACAATGGCGTGCAGCGATCCGAGGTTTTGGCTCGCTTGCCACGGTTTATAGCGTATACGAACCAAAAGGACGATCACTATCCGCAACTCACGGTACAGGAGACGTTCGAGTTCGCTCAACGTTGTTGTGGAGGTGCCAAACTGGAGCCATGGGTGCTCAAAGCTCTCGCAACGTGCAAAGGAGAGCATCGAGAACGTGCTGTCAAACTCGTAACAGCGCAACACCAGTTCGCTGCAGATCTCCGAGTGAAAACGCTTGGCTTAGATCGATGCAAAGACACCATCGTAGGCAACGCCATGATCCGTGGAGTGTCAGGAGGCGAACGCAAACGCGTTACCACTGGAGAAATGACGTTCGGCCGCAAGCGAGCACTGCTACTGGACGAGATCAGCACCGGCCTTGACGCTGCGACCACGTACGATATCGTCAACGCGCTCAAAAGCTTGACTCGAAACTTGAAACATAACATCGTGGTGTCTCTGCTGCAGCCGCCACCCGAAGTGTTCAACCTCTTCGATGACATCCTGATCATGAATGACGGTCACATCATGTACCATGGTCCGCGTGAGCAAGTGCAGGAGTACTTTGAGACCCTCGGTTTCCACTGTCCTCCTCGCAAAGATGTGGCGGACTTTCTACTTGATCTTGGAACCGAGAAGCAACACGATTACACTAGCGGTGACTCCAAGGATGCTAACATCCCATTCGAGGCTGTGGAGTTTGCAGAGCGCTTCCGTCAGTCCACAATATTCCAAAATACGTTGACATACATGAGAACGCGTTCAACGCACAAGTCGGATGTGTTTGATCCGATCCAGGACCCGTGCGTGTTTCGACAGTCGTTTCTCGAAGACCTTAGCACGGTATTTCGTCGTCAATGGAAGATCAAGCTTCGTGACAGGACCTTCCTCATGGGACGTTGCTTTATGGTCCTGGTTATGGGTCTGCTCTACGGGTCCGTGTTCTGGCAAATGAACGATGTCAACAGTCAGTTGATCCTCGGTCTGTTGTTCTCGTGTACCTTGTTCCTCTCGATGGGGCAGGCAGCTCAACTGCCGACGTTCATGGGGGCTCGCAGTGTGTTCTACAAGCAACGCGGGGCCAATTTCTTCCGATCGCTGGCTTATGTTTTGGCCTCGTCACTGACACACATCCCGTTCGCCATCTTGGAGACTATACTCTTTGGCGCGATTGTCTACTGGATGGGAGGCTACGTAGCTCTCGCGGACAGGTTCATTTCTTTTCTATTCACACTTTTCCTATGTCAAATGTGGTTCACGGCCTACTTCTTCTTCCTGTCGGCTGCTTCTCCCAGTATCACCATTGCTCAACCGGTTATGATGGTCTCCATTCTTTTCCTCATGCTGTTCGGCGGGTTCCTGTTACGGAAGACAGACATCCCGGATTATCTTATCTGGTTCTACTGGATCGACTCGGTAGCGTGGAGTATTCGTTCCCTCAGTGTCAACCAGTACCTGGCACCCAAATTCGACGTCTGTGTGTACCGTGACATCGATTACTGCTCTCGTTACGGAACTACATTCGGTAAGTATAGCCTCAAACTCTCTGGGTTACCAACAGAAGAAATCTGGATCTACTTTGGATGGCTCTACTTTATCGTCGGGTACATTGTTCTCGTTCTAGCAGCACATCTCGTACTCGAGTATAAACGTTATGAAAGTCCCGAGAGCACGACAGTGGTGCAAGCGGATCTCGATGTCAAAGAGGGGCATTCAGATACCAAGCCAAATACCGATATCGGATCGGCCACAGTTCCAGAAGATGTCGCCGTCTCGATCACCACTCCAAGGAAAAGTGCTGTACCTGTTACGTTAGCTTTCCAAGATCTATGGTACTCTGTGCCCATGCCTGGTGGTAAGAAAGGAGAAGACATTGATCTGCTTCAAGGTGTCTCTGGTTTTGCCAAACCTGGAACTATGACTGCACTCATGGGATCATCTGGAGCCGGTAAGACTACACTCATGGACGTCATCGCAGGACGAAAGACGGGGGGTAAAATACGTGGCAAAATCCTGTTAAACGGGTACCCAGCCAACGACCTCGCCATCCGCAGAAGCACGGGTTATTGTGAGCAAATGGACATCCACTCAGAGTCTGCAACAATTCGAGAAGCGCTAGTCTTCTCAGCAATGCTACGACAAAGTGCTAGTGTCTCAACAAAGGAAAAGATGGAGTCAGTAGACGAATGTATCACGTTGTTAGAACTCGGTCCTATTGCAAACAAGATCATTCGCGGGTCCTCCACCGAGCAGATGAAGCGTCTGACTATCGGCGTTGAGCTCGTTGCACAGCCCAGTATCATCTTCATGGATGAACCTACTAGTGGTTTGGATGCACGGTCGGCTAAGCTCATCATGAATGGAGTGCGCAAGATCGCTACCTCTGGAAGAACAATCGTGTGTACCATCCACCAACCGAGCTCTGAAGTCTTTAGTTACTTCGATTCCCTGCTGCTCCTTCGACGTGGTGGACGGATGGTGTTTTTCGGAGACCTTGGCAAAGACTCGAGCAACCTTATCAAGTACTTTGAAGCAGTACCAGGAGTGACTCCGATCGAGCCTGGATACAACCCCGCGACGTGGATGCTCGAGTGCATTGGAGCCGGCGTTGGAGCTGCTTCTCGTACTGATATGGACTTTGCAGAGTTCTTCTCGAAAAGTGATCTATACGATAGTATGGAGAAAGATCTTAGCCAAGACGGAGTACTTCGGCCCTCTCCAGATCTTCCTGAGCTAAAGTTTTCCAAGCAATTCGCGTCGACTAGAACGACGCAATTTAAGTTACTGTGTTGTCGATTCTTCTACATGTACTGGCGAACACCGACGTACAACCTTACGCGCTTGATGGTCAGTGTGATGCTTGGTGCAATCTTCGGTATCATCTACCAGGCTACCGACTACACTACGTTCACAGGGGCCAACGCAGGTGTCGGACTCGTTTTCGTCAGTACCGTCTTCTTGGGAATCATTGGCTTCAACAGTGTGATGCCTGTCGCGGCCGATGAACGGACAGCGTTTTACCGTGAACGAGCATCCGAGACGTACCACGCGTTGTGGTACTTTATCGCCGGTACACTGGTTGAGATCCCATATGTGCTGTTGTCTGCTCTCGCCTTCACCATTATCTTCTTCCCGAGCGTTGGATTTACAGGGTTTGGAACGTTCGTCAGCTACTGGCTCGTGGTCTCTCTGAACGCACTGCTCTTCGTGTACTTTGGTCAGCTGTTAGTATTCGCGTTGCCTAGTGTAGCTGTGGCATCGATTGCTGGCGCACTGCTCAGCTCCATCTTTATGCTGTTCGCAGGCTTCAATCCGCCAGCGAATAATATCGCGATAGGCTACAAGTGGATCTACTACATCTCGCCACCGACGTACAGTATTGCAACTCTCGTTGCAATGGTCTTTGCTGACTGCCCCGAAGGAACCACTAACAACCTGGGCTGTCAAGTATTGAGGAACGCACCACCCACCGTCGGCAGCATATCTCTTAAGCAGTACGTGGAACACGCCTTCGACATGAAATCGGACTATATACCCAGGAACGTCGTGATCCTGGGTATTCTCATTGTGGCGTTTCGACTGTTGGCGTTGCTCTCACTACGCTACATCAGTCACCTCAAACGGTAACAAAGAAGAAGAAGAAAATGCCATTGACAAAGAAAACAAGAGTTTGTTTAGTCTGCTTTGGCGACAGTCAACCAATCTGGAAATTTACTTTAGCTATCATTTCTTCATGCTGTGCAGCTTCTGTTGCAGCTCCGCCAGAGCGAATGCTGCGGGTGCGAAGCAGGCGCAGGAGATGCGCTTACAAAGGAAGGCCCAGCCTTCGAAACGTAGGAGAGTGAATTCCTGCTAAAAAAAAGTTTTACTGGGCAAAGCACGATTTTGTTTATTAAACCACAAGGGATTTGTGCTGGTAGTGCTGAGTAAAAGCACTACATGATCTAGTATATCGTCTGCGACTTACACTGGCAACATGCATAATGTTTGCCTAGCCAGCAATGTGAAACAGCCAGAAAGCTGTGGTATCTTTCGTTTCCGGAAAAAAATTACAGTACACATGGAATCTTTTTCTCCAATTGTCCCCGATATTTCCAACCAAGTCGTATACTGAAAGGTGGAGAATCTTACATTCCATCAGACTTGCTCTAAGCTGGCTTTTTCTTGGTAACTGCGGTAGCTCCAAGGGAACCTCTACTGCTGCGGCTCCGAACAGGCCGAATTCAAATTACCTACTTTTTACCAACCAGTACGAACATGAGAAAACCCGCAACGGCAAGAAATTTTCGTAAACTTGGTGTCTTGAGTTGTCTGGTTGAACTCGAGGTAGTCGGGCGATGACAGCTACAGTATTCACGCAATTAGTGCATGTTCGTAATTAGCGTCATACGCGAATTAGTGTCACCTATATTTCACGACACTTTTCAGGTGAATCTGACGCCTCAATGTCGAATCTCGACGTTTGCAATCGCTGATTGTGCCTGTAAGTTGTGCGTAGGCAGAGTTTGTCTATGCTGATTGGTTTTCGCGGCTGCATGGGTCAAATTGCCCATACCTTCTTCTTCTTTTTAATTGGCAAGATACGCAAGCGTATAATCGTCTCCATGCATGACTGCGGCATATACTACGTATGACGCGTCACCCAGACAGTCCCCAACGAAAAACTTCAGCAACGACCCATTTGCCAATCTTGTCAGTTTGCGAAGCCTAGCGGTCTAAAAGGAAATTGAGAGTAAGAGGAGGAGCGCCATCCATTCCGTGATTACCATATCCCATCCAACGATACACCGTGCAGTGTTTAACTCCTCAAGTACAAAAAGCACAACCGCTCTTACAAACAAGCAACATGAACAAGCCAATAGACGTTTGAACGTTGTTGATTGTGATTGATACCATCTATCTCTCATCAACTTTTTTTTTTCTGCAAGAAGCTGTGGGCGAAAGAGATCTCGTTTGCAATAGTTCATCCCTGACTATCCGTTAGTTGCAGGCAGGATCGCGATTGTATTTGCCACAACGTTTATGGCGATCGTTTCGCTGTGGCAAAGCGTAGGTGCCATCAGCATTAGCAACTTGAGCAAATAGGGCGATGACCACGACAGCAATTTGAATGAAGTTCATATCTGTCGACTTCACGCTTGGCTTCCTCGAGTTCAATTGAAGAATGAACTGCATTAGGAATACGCCGAACCTAAACTGATGATGTGTCTTTTGGTTACGTACAAGGATACCGTAACACTACCGTAAACATTGGTCACGCACAAGGATACCGTAACACTACAATCAGGCGCTGTAAGGGATTGCCAGCAGTAGATAGTATAATCCAGTACTATAGTACTTCCACTGCTACTACAGTGACCAGTAAATCTAAAACTATTGGATTACTACTACTACAGTAAGCAATAATTTGCGCAAGCACTGATGTAGTACTATTCAGTACTACAAGGCTATTGGATCAGGAATGACATGCTAAGTTCGATTTAGTGTCTTCAGTGGAGGACAAAACGGTGGTTTGTGGTGCTCCAATTGTTACAATGGCGCCAAGCACATCAGAATCATAGAATCAAGTGTTAACGAACAGCCTTTTGCAGTAGTGCCTTGGGTATGTAGCCTGCACCAAGCGATGGATTCGAATCTAACGGAAGATAAAAACGCCAAACTGTAATTGCTGGCGCTTCGAGGCGCTTTCCAAATATATTGATATCGCTCGCTGGTTTCACGATTCTGATAGTGATCTTTTCCTGGGTAACAGCTCGTCCAACGTGATGCAGGAGCGCGTGTTTCCATTGTGAATTTTGTCATGAGCTCGGTACGCACGAGGAGCGGACAAGGAGCAAGCCGAACTACAAGTGCTGATGAATCGTGGCATGAGCGAGATTCGATAAATGGAGGCTGCTGATGGTGTTGAAGATATCGAGTGCGCAGATGAAGATTACAGTATAAGACAGTAATTAATTGTACTGTGTTGCTGTTACTGTAGTAATTTATAATTTAAGAGGAGATTACTGCTACAACAAGTACGTCACGGCGAGGATTTACCTCGTTACAGCCAGTTATCACTAAAATCGCTATTACTGGCAATCCCTGACCGTAAGCAAACTATTGGTACAACCGGGGGAGGGGCTTCTACAACACAAAGACTGTAGTTTACGGTATTTCAATGCGTAAGCAACATGGGTGGGTTTTGTTCCGATAAGATAAGTATCATCAAGACCAAGGGCATTTACAGGTATGGTGAATGGACAGAGAGAGCGAGAGAGAGAGAGAGAGAGAGAGAGAGAAGTTACGCCTATTCACCAGTTATCCTAGTTCATAGATTCTTGCTGATTACATTATGGTGAATGGAATAGTAACGAACAATTAACCTTGAAGTAGCATTGAAACTGGGATTTAGATACCGTAAACCACGGTATCTGGCTCACCGCAACACTGTAAAAAAAATTAAAAATCGAGAACAGTAAAGTGCGAGTACGAGTTGGTCTCATTACTACACCTTTACATGTACAGTATTGCGAAGCTACAATTCGTCCTTGACGCCCCCTGATAAGCCTGTAGCATCACTAACAGTTTATGAGCTAAAACAGCTTGTACCATTAACCCCTTGAACCCGAGGTAGTACTGTACCCCCTGACAGCCTAAGCCCTAGGTAGCTTAACGTGTACCTGCAGGAAAGGGTTTCCATACTGAAGTCTTGATGTTTTGCTATCGTGTATAGAGGATAAGCGCAGGCTAAACCTAATCCATGATGGGCATCTCGCTGTTTATCTAGTACAGTCGTGCACCTCCAATTCGGTACCGGTATCAGTCGATACCCTGTCAGATTTTATGATTACGCGAATCGGATGCGCAATTACCTATGCCCATCACCACCCTAGCAATTAACTTCAACAGTTTTCCCCTCCTCGGGGAGGGATGACATGCCGCATCGATCTGATTTTAAATTTTGGAGCGGACGTCTTCATACAAATAAACACTTTATTTTTTTTACCGCCAAAGACAACGGGACATCGCCCTTCCTCCTACATGTCGCTAACTCTAGCACAAAAGCAGTCTTTGTGC